GGAGCGGAGAAAACCAAATTCGGCAGTTCCCCACTTTCGGCCAAGCGAAGCAACTTTTGAGTCTATTTTCTTTCTGTTGCGGTGTAAGTTCTTGCACTTTTTGGAATATCCATGGCTTTACCCAGAGCTCCTTTTTTCAATATTTGCCGAATGGGATATTGCGATATGTTTAGCTCACGAGCCATTTCAGCTCGTCGGCAACTGCGACGTGGGTTTCGATCAAATCTCTTCTTTACTTTTCGAACCATTTCTGCTGATGTTGCTGTTTTCTTCCGTCCACTTCCTTGACGTCGGACTACGTTACCAGTATCACGGCAACAAGCGATGGTACGAGACACAAAAGATTTATTCACATTTAAATTCTGGAGTGCTCTAACGATAGCCACTTGTGGTTTTCCAGCCAAATATAAAGAAATCACACTATCACCCTTGAACTCCATCACGAATAACTTTTTTTCTGGAAAATTCTCACCAAAATGCTTTTGTACGCTTGTAAACAATATAATGAGCTGTCACTGGAATAATTTTAACAGCTGTCGGACGAGTGGCTTAGAAATGACAGCAGTCTGAAGTTGGTTGCAGTTTTTTCATCTCACCCTGTATATTATCTTCACAACAAATGTTATATTGGCAGAAATGTTTGTGTGTGTGCGGGAGGTACCAGAAGAAATGGTCCGATCTCTACCATCTTTATAACAGATCTTGTGTTGATGGAATTATTGAGATGTGCCACGTCTGAATGGAATCGGATGTTATTTTCGCTTTTTATGAACTCCATGTATGTTCAAAATTTTTGATCCTTGGTGGGGGAGGTACCAGAAGGAGAGGACCGATATATCTCTTCTTCGCAGCAGATCTTGTGTTAATAAAAATATCGGATTTTATGATCTTTTTGGTAACTCAAAACTTAAACCCTTTGTGGGGGAGGTACCAAAAGAAATGGTCCGATTTCTATCATCTTTATTACAGATCTTGTGTTGATAGAAATATTGAAATATTCCAATTTAGAATGGAATCGGAAGTTAATTTCGTGTTATGTTTCATTATTATTTAAACATAATTACCATTTATATTTAAAATGTTGACCCATTGTGTGGGAGGTACCAGAAGGAGTGGACCGACACATTCCATTTGAAATTATTTTCTTTGAAAATGTTGAGCTTTTGTGTGGGACAATAATATTGCGATGTACCAAGTTTGGACACTCCCTTCGAGAGTTATCGTGCGCACCAGCCAGCAAGCCGGACAGACAGAAGGGCGGACATCGCTAGATCGACTCCAAATGTTCAGAAATGGATTTAATCCAAAGAGACCTAGAGTCTAAATCCATTTTTTCGATGAGGCATGTTTTGGCCGTATCAAATGATATGGCTGAGGCTATAAAAAATAGATGTTAATGACCTTAACAAATTTCGCAAATGATTTTGTATACCGAAAAGCAGATGGAAAATGACTTCAACGGCTTGATACCAAAATAACAATCCCCAAAACCTCCGAAGTAAAAATATCATTCTTTTTAATAAACCATTATATTCAGGTACCCTAATTATAATAGGAGTCTTAGAATGCTGACATATTGTGAAGCTAAATTATAAAAAAGTATTTTTATTGTCACTGGCCAATTTTTGAAACAAATTTCAAATGTCCAGGGGCTTAACACCAAAGAAATAATCCCCAAAACCCTCAAAGTAAAAATGTTAAGTATGTTGCATAACACATTATATTCAGGGACCACAGTTATTAAAGGAGCCTTATAATGCTGACCGAGTTTATTGAATATTTCATCTACGCTTCCTACCATCCACATTTTCCCATTCAACGCTCTCAGTTGCTTATCAGTTGTGTGGTGTGTGTTTGTAGTTTAGTATGAATGTTCATTTAATTAATTAGCTACTGGCAGCCACAAACAATGGATGAATGAATGTCATTAATAATTAGCCATTATATAACCCAATAATCTTTAATTGACGACTTCGCACCTTTTTTTATAACTATTGCTCCCGTTGACCTAATTTCTTGGCAGCGAAATGAACTGGTTGGTGATGGTGGGCAGCAGTCAGTCAGTTAGGTATTTATAATGCGTTTAGTTTGTTTTGCTGATAATTTTGATTATTCTTTTTTTTTTTTTTTTTGTTCTATGAAATTCCTCTGCTTTGTTTAGCATGGGAATTGGAACAAAAAAAAAACGAATGTGGGTTATCAGTTCCATTGTTTGTTTATTTTTATTTTTTCTTTAATTTTTTCAGCTAAGCGTGTTTTTAGCAAAGCGTTTTAAAGAAAAAAAAGTTTGTATATTACACCATAAATCAAATCGAGCAATACCCTTCGTTTTGAATTTGTAGAAAAAATGGTGCTAGTACGATGACTATTGTTGTGGGACGGTTTTTGACCCACTGCAAGAAAAACGTCACATCTATATTTAAACAAGTAAAACACGTTAAGTTATACCAAGCCGAGATGTTAATATCCTCCACCATAAGTTAAGGAAAAGTATTGCCATTTAATATTCGAACTTGTTTCAGTGAAATCATTTGGAGGATGTAGTTCAAGTTTAAAGTGATCAACCTCATAGTCTTCACGAGAAGAGGCTCTCCGCTCTGAAAGCAGAAGAGAACATTTGAAAAAAATGTTCAAATTAAGTTATTGAGCTGTCTTGCATTCGCCAATACCGATGAATTTGTTTTCCAAAAGCAATCTGCGATTAAAGGAACAGATCAAAACTTCTTTACTACTTCGAGAGCAATGACAATAAATCGTAGCAGTTTATTGTCCAGAATCCATTCACTACAACTGAAAGAGGTAAGGCAGAGAATAACTTTAATGTAATCTGCAGATTCCAAAAAAAGACATGCGTGGATTTTTTTCATTTTCGGCGGGGATTACATTAGGACGCTCTTCAACTGAGGTGGTACTAGGCACCATTATTGTAAGATTAACAAAGGAACAACACCTGAAGTCTAAAACCTCCCACTGAACCGGTATTCTAAGCCACACACTACCTCTCGAGTTCCTCTCGCATCATCCAGACGATTGAGTGTGGAGTTTAAACCCGTGCGCAATAGCCAGCCAGACAGATGGACGAACGGATTCCGCTAGATCGACTCCAAATCACCTAAAACAGATTTCGTCCAAAGAGACCTAGGGTCTGAAGTCGTTATTTCGATGTGGAAGATTTTGGCCAAATCAAGTGATGTATAACCTTTGAAGACATACGACTGAGAATATACAAAAATAACAAAACGTTTCGGGTGATCGAGTTCTAGGGCCCCTCAGGCAGTCATTGACAAAGCTGACCTTGGAAAGTCATAGTCTGAAAGAAGCGGGCCATCTGCGAAATATTATTTTCTAGGGAGAAACAGATACTTGGAACAAGCTATTTGTCATTTGGTAGGAAAAAAGATCAAATTATGTGACAGCGAGAAGCCAAAGATCTACCTCTTCAAAATTGACATTGACTTTGGTAGGCTATTGAGAAACCGGCAATATTCAATTACTTAAATGGATCTCCTTGCAGGAGTGATGGGTATTCTGACAATACTGAATATGCAGAATCACAGTGTCAGTTCCAGTTTTAAAACTGGAGTCTTGTCATTAAGATTTCCATTGATTTCAAGAGTTAAAAGGAATATAAACAGGTTCGTAGCGATATTTTTCTTCTTAGATGAATTGGGCTTTGTATCATTTAGATTTGACTGTAACATTGCAAAGCGAGTATAGCAAAACTCCTCCTATCTCTAACAATATCCAGAAAAGACATAGATCTCAACAAGCGACTAGTCACATGTTTCTGCAATGAAGAAGAGGTAAGAACATGCATCAAAGCTAAATACAAAAAATGTAACGGAGTTAAGCTGAGAACCATGCTCCAGGTGAGTCGAACTTTTGACATTCAACTACACGCCAGGCCAACATGTTGAGGGACTGTTTTAGTGGCGATGAGGGCCACAGGTCGCCTCTTAATAGCTTTTGAATCCATAAGGCAGCAGTGGTTCAACAGTTTACTTTTTCAAATCTTTCAATACCCTTACAGACTTGGATAATACCTTGTCTTGGCAGAGTGGTCGCACTTTACTCCTTTATATATTCCTTTGTAACCAAGTCTGGCCCAAAAAATTACAGTAGGCGTGTATAAAGCCTACCAAAGTGAAAGAAAATGATATGGAATATTACAAGCTGCGGGAAATTAAAGAAGAAATGAAAACGATTAAGCATATCCCAATTCTGAGCTTATCCTACCAACAGTGGAATACGATGGATTGGGTTTCGTCGTTTTAAATTGCTTTAAATTTCCTATTTTTCTCAACACTCTTTGATAGACGAACAAAAAGTGATATTTTCACGGACACCATTAATTTTGTCAGGAAATTAGGGGGGCATGCCTGTCCTGGCCATATTTTGAGATCGAGGTGACCATCACTTTATTGGTAAGGAGACATTTTCCATATTAGGACTAGCTGTTGCATATTATTAGGACTGGCTGTTGCATATTCACTGTTGCATATTCACTTTTAAAGATTTAATACACATGTTCCAAGCTTTTTGACAAAAGGTGTGGGAGGTTCGAAACCCACTCCTTTACACCGAAGTCTGTTCGATTTCCACAAACATACTTTTAAGTCTGATTTTCCCAGCTAGTTGCATTCCTCCTCGTAAAATCACTGCTTCAAATTTACTCCTCAACTATAAAAATATTTCAGCTATTCAAAGTATTTGAAAGAAAAGGAAATACAGCAGCAATAACAAAAGGCACACAATCAAATGAAAAACAAAGAAAGACAGACAAACTGAAAAAAAAAACACCCAAGCACTGTCGATGATAAGAAGAAATGTGACAATTGGAATAAAAATAAAAAAAATAATCGGACGAATAGCAGATAAAGACGCAATAGTTTGGCACATACAGTAGAAAAAAAAACTAAGAAGCAGTAACGAGCCCCCCTATAAACTTAAATAATATACAAAACACACACACACACACACACTCCGTATCATTTACTTACCGCTGTTTTAAATTCCATATTAAGCAGATGCCACCAGGCATCTGAAAATATATCGCCATAATCCTGGGCCGTGGTACGTATAACACCAATAATATCCATTTTGGCAGCAAATTGACAAAGAGGCTGTGTGTCCGTCCAACAAGACTTGAGAATTGCAACAATTTAATATTTTCTTTTTATTTTTGGCTAAAATTATCTTTCACTATTTTGGCAATTCATTCAAATGAAATGACAGCAGCACCCCCATAGCCAAACTAAAGAGAATATCTCTGCTGCTACGCTGCGCCGCTGCCGTTAGTGTTGAGGGAGAGAGTGAGAGGTGCAATGTTAAGTTCTTTTGTTTGTTTTTAGTTTATTCTGTTTTTATTATTTTTTATAACAGCCACTGCTTTCTTACTTTGTTTTCTATTCATATAAAATATAAAGAAGAGTGGGGTGGTGGGAGCTTTTGATTATTTTGTACTTTTTTTTGTTTATTAAATCTTTTTGCAAAAGAGACGGTATGGTTATTTGTCAAACAATGCTGCTGATGTCCGGCAAAACCAAAAACAGCTGAGATTATGCACGAGAGAAGAGAGACAGAGAGAGAGAGAGAGGGAGTAAGGTACACAACAAAACAAAAAGCAGCTGGTTTAACACGCTCTCTATACATGAGACATACGGAAAAGAATACCCCACCACAAAGTTAGCCACCAATAAGAACAACAACAACAATTTGTTTCTTATAGCGTTTTTTTTCGCAAAGAATTCTTTGCTTCTTTGTTGTTGTTACTGTTTTGCTTTTTTTGCGGAACAATTAACCGAGCGTGTGATATACGCACGTTATACAATTTTAATGTAAATTAACTTAAGTTTTTTCACTTTACACATGACTTTTTTCGCAACAACAAAACACAACTTCTTGGTGGTAATTCTTATTGATTGCTTCTTCTTGTTCTAAGCACTTCCGCGAACAATTTTTTGCATATCGAATTTTCACACACTTCACCAATGATTGCTTTTTGTATTTCTTTTACTACCCGGTAGCCAACTATTTGTTTTACGTTAATACTCCTTTGTAGCTGGTCAATGACATCTAGATAATATTTTCATTTATTCTATATTACTTTCAAACACTTTTTAATAGAATAAATTATTTATGTTTTTTTTTACTTTTTTTCTGTATTTTCGTCGCGTTTCAGAAATCTACCGTTCTGCTACCGTTCGTTCCAATGATTTTTTCGCTAATGACAAGTCAAAAGAAGGGATGCGTAAGTCGACTTTCGATTAATCGGCTGTTGGTGGTGTGGTGTGGAAAGTGGAAAAGTGTGGTGGAAATCGCATTTGACTTTTAGTAATCGATTTTCTATTTTGAGACAGATTTGTTTAACTGACTTTTTATAATTAGACATATGTTCTCCCGCTTATGGGGTAGTTGGATAATGGGAAAGGTAGCAAATGTTGTCCTTCTCCTTTGCTTCAAAAATGTTATATTTAGCCTGTTCCAGAACTGCAAATGTGTAAAATGTTTACTACGATAACCGATTTTCCCTTCATGATATCGAAAAAAATGCAAAATTAGGAGATTCTTGCAGGTTCTGGAACAGCCCTTTTATAAATAGACATATGTTCTCCCGCATATATTAACAACAAATCAAATGCATATATTTTGGTAAAAAAGATTGGATAATGGAAAAGGTAGCAAACGTTGTCATTCTCCTATGCTTCAGAAATGTTATATTATGTTCTAGAACTGCAAAAGTGTAAAATTTTTACTACGATAACCGATTTTCCCTTTATGACATCGAAGAAAATTGCAAAATTAGTAGACTTTTACAGGTACTGGAACAGAGTAATTGATAAAAGACATGGAGTTTAAATACAGAGTTGCATTTTAGAAGCATAATAAAAAATAATAAAATTATAGGCGGTCAATGGAAAGGTACCTATCATGATTCGCATTTGAGGCTCTTTTCCAGAACCTGCAAGAATCTACAAGTTTTTCAGCTATTTTCGATATAATAAAATAAAAATCGGTTATCCCAGCAAAAAGTTTTAGATGCCTGCAGGCCAAATACTAACCAGCTGTTTTGTCAAAACAAACCAATTTGTCCCCCATTAAAAGAAATAAACCTCCACCAATTTTACAAGTTAATTGTTAAAAAAAAAAACAAAGAATAGAAAACATCTGATTGTATGTCGATGAATGAGAAGAAGAAGAATTGCAAGTGATTTTGCGAAGAAATTTGTCCAGCAAGAATTGGCAAACTCTCACTCAAAGAACTGTCAAAAGTTCTCTCTTCAACCGCTCTCTTTTGCGGAACTTTCGGGTTAACAGACGACATCCAGTAACAATTGTTAAAAATTATAGGGTAACCAGACACACCTAATCCCAGCAAACATGCCACCGAAAAAGTCGACAACAAACTTTCGATGTTCTACCAACAGAAAAAATCGATTATTGCCACTAAAGTCAACTGGTTACAAGTCGATCTACACATCCCTATCATAGTCTCGCCTATTGCAAAAAAAAAAACATAAAAACTCCTGAGTTTTTGCAAAAAAGAACAAATACAAGTGAAATTAAGAGACAAAAAGTCTATAATATCAATAATATTGGGGAGTAAGAAACTGTGAAAATATTCCCACACACACGCACGCACCCACTCCATCACATACCAGACCCATCACATCGATTTTGTATCAAAGCAAAAAAGAAAGCAGGAAGCCCCCATTATGAATCCTTGTGCCGTGCCCACCCAAAGGACTGATGATGACGGTGACGATAGATGGCTAAGGTAGGTAGCCAATAACATATCTTACAAAATGAATAATTGGAAATCTTTTTCATTTTGTTTCCCCTGTAGCATACACAAACGCTTCATTTCGGAGTGCCGTGAAAAAGACCCTGACGTCATTTTCATTGGTGATTGCATATTGGAGACACTACAGGACACGGAGACATGGCATCACTATTTCGCTCCAATGCATAGTCTGAATTTTAGTATACGTGGCGATCGCTGTGAAAATGTTTTGTGGCGCATCGAAAACGGTGAACTGGATAATGTGAAACCGAAAATCGTTGTCCTCCATGTTGGCACCAACAATGTCGACAACAAGGCCGAAGAGATAGCAGATGGCGTTTATGAAATTGTACAGAGAATACGTTCGAGATTGCCGGATACGTATATTGTGTTGCCTGTGAGTAAATTTAGGTTTTTAACTGGATATTTGGTTTTTTTTTTAACGAAATTTATCCTTTTGAGTTGATAGTCTAATACTAGTGTCCTAAGGGCGTAATTTGCTTGGAGTAAATTTATGCTTTTATATGGATATTTAAATTTTTAACAAAATTTATCCTTTTGAGAGGAATGAATCAAATACTGCTTTCTTAAAAGCGTAATTTGTTTGGAAAAGAGTTGAAAACGTTTGCTAGGAAAGAGTAGCACAACCTTCGATAAAATAAGAATCAAATTAAGGATTCTTATTATGGGTTACAGAAGAAAGCGTTCAAGCCATCTTCAAATTCTTAAGGAAACAAAGTTTACATATATAGACCATTTAAGTGGATCTATGATAAATAGTCAAATTATAAGGTTTTTATGTTTTTTTTAATATTTTTATACAATTTTTGATTTTTCATATTTTGTCTCTAAGGTGATATTAGTACCTCCTAGTAGTCCTAAGTCCATCTATCGGTGATATAACCGGTCATATTAGATCAAAATTAGATCGACTCCAAATACCCCGAAACGTAGGTTTTAAAATCTTATTTTATGAAAAATTTATTTAAAATTAGCCTAAAAAGCCTATTGTTAGGAAATATCCCAATCAATACAGACCCAGGATGTCTAGTCTAGCCTTGGAAATTTTTCATACTTTATCCCCTGAATAATGTCCTATCATTTTTCTATATTTTAGTCTCTACTACCTCGTGGCCATCAAGCAAATAAATTACGTGATAAAAACGCTCAAGTCAATAGTTTGGTTAAGGAGAAAGTTGTCGGACTCAATCGCGTGCAGACGGTGGACATAACAAAGGGTCTGGTACAAACCGACAACTCCATTAGTCATCATGATATGTTCGATTATAAGAATCTAACCAATACGGGAGCTAAGAAAGTATTTGAACCGGTACATGATCTCTTGTCGCAGATACTAAATGAAAATGAACATGAACGTGATCTCACACCATCGGAATAGTGGTATTGAAGAAAAGAAAGAAAAAGAAAAATTTCCATGCAGCAAGAATACAAAATATCATCAAGAAGCAACACAGCAGCAGCAGCAGAAGAAGCAGCAAAATACTTTTACTTATACACCACATACACACACAAACACTACTACATACAATTACATATATTATTTTATGATTTTGTTCTATATTTAATATAATTCATTCAACAATGCGAAATTGCTTGGCTATTTCTGGCCACTCCAAAAGAGAATCACCAAAACAAAAAAAAAAAAAAAAAATTACCCCAAGTTCCCTTATTTCTTTTTACTACTTTTGCTTTGCAAAATCTATTTATATTTTTAAGACAAAATCTATTCCAAATTCCATAATTTTATCTCATGCATTTTGCTTTGTAGACTTTATAAATATTTAATAATTACTACTTTTTTTACAATACCTTGAAACAAAGTCTGTTTTTTAGCCTTTAATGATGGTAGCTTAAGAAAAAAAACAAACACATTTGTATGTATTTATGTATTTCTCTTGAAAAAAAAAAAACTATTAAAAAAACACATGTGAATTTTTATACATAAATTTCGAATTTAAAATGAAAACATTTTTTTCTTCGACACACTCCCCAGGTTATTTATTTAGTTTCCATTCAACGCAACTTTAATTTATTGAGCTTTTTTATAAAGAGAATATGTTTCTATTCAAAACACAGAACAACATTTACACTTACCTACCTTTCCACGTTTTACTCCTTCGCATCACTCCAAAAAAAAAAAAAGAAAAATTCTCTAATAGATGAGCAATTTATATTAGATTACAACAAATTGAAAATAATAAATATAATTTTTTATTGCAAGAAAAAAAAAAGAGTTGCAGAGTTGGATTTTATTTTAAAATAAGAATAACATTTTCTAGGAAGGAATTTGGTATGATATTGTCTTTGTCATACCCCAAAAATTATGTTTTGTAGGAGAGTTTTCTCTTAGTATAACTTGGTATGAAATTTTATTGAAAACTATTGTATCCAGATATATGGTTTATGCTGAGATTTATCGTGAAATTTAGTGCAAAATATTCTCCTTTGCATAAAGTGAAATTTTATGTTACTTTAAGGCGTCAACTCGAAGATCAAGGAAAAAATTATCAAAAAAAAAAAAAAAAAAAACAGTAAGTAAAAGTCCTAAAGTCGACCGGGGCCGATTTTATGATACCCTACACACCTTGCTAATTTAGTTGAGCTCCACTTAATAATTAAAAGTTGTTATGGGAGAATTCAATTATACACGCTATGATTATAATTATAATTTAAAATTCAAAGGACTAAAGCATTTGTATCTTTTAAATTCGGACTTGTATTGCCCATTTGGTGCGAAATTAATTTCAAATCGGATAAAAATATATATGGGAACTATATCCAAATCTGAACCGATCTCGATAAAATTTGGCAAAGATCTTTCTGAGCTGTATTTGATATATTTCCCTGAATATCGTTGTTACGGAGTGCATATTACGGCTATGGGTAACAAATACAATAAATCGGATGAACAATATATATGGGAGCTATAGCTATATCTGAACCGATTTTCACCAAATTTGACATACTACCTTTTAGACTAAATTCGGTCGTATGTGTCAAATTCCATCCCATTTGGACAAATATTAGACGTTTGGTGCACAATAAATGGTAAATCGGACGAAGTTATATATGGGAGCTATATCCAAATCTGAACCGATTTCGATAAAATTTAGCAAAGGTATTTCTGAGCTGTATTTGATATATTTCCCCAAATATTGTTGTTACAGAGTGCATATTACGGCTGCGGAGGACAAAAATAAGAAATCGGATGAACAATATATATGGGAGCTATAGCTATATCTGAACCGATTTCGATAAAATTTGGCATACTTATTTTCAGGCCTAATTTGGTTGTATGTGCAAAATTCCATACTATTCGGGCTGATATTAAACGTTTGGTGCACAATAAAAGGCAAATCGGACGAAGATATATATGGGAGCTATATCTAAATTTTTACCGATTATCTCCAATTTCAATAGGGTTCGTTCTTGGGCCAAACAAATGTTGTTTGCAAAATTTCATCTCAATCGGGTAATAAATGCGACCTGCATTTTGTTCACAAGAATACATGGACAGACAGACGGACTGACATGCATAAATCAACTCAGAAAGTGATTTTATGCAGATCATCAAAAGGAACTATGGGTCTATCTCGTTTCCTTTTGCCTGTTACAAACAAATGCACAAAGACATAATACCCTGACCACCTTGTGGTGTAGGGTATAAAAATATAAATCGGAGTTCTAGAAAATGGAAACGTACGTCCCGAAATTCATTTAGGCTGATATTTGCCATTATTTGCACTATAAACCTGAAACGGATTAGAGATATTTAGGAGCTATATCCGTATTTTAGCCGATCTCGATAACATTTGCAAAGGTATTTCCGAGCTCTATAATATACCTCGTAACAAATATCATTGTTGTCGAATGGATATTACGAATTTGAGTGACTTAAACACCAAATCGGACGAAACATCGAGAACTATAGCTATATCTGAACCGATTTTCTCCAAATTTGAAGTACCTGCTTCTAGACTTAATTTGGTCGGATGTACCAAAATTCAGGACTTTGAAGCAGATATTCGCCATGTGTGCACAATTAACCCGTAATCGGTTGAAGATACATATGGGAGCTATATCCAAATCTGAACCGATCTTGATAAAATTTAGCAGAGGTATTTTCGTGCCCTATAAGATATCTGGTACCAAATATCATTGTTGTCGAATGGATATTACAAGTGTGTGGTACTCCAACACCAAATCGGATGAAACTATATATGGGAGCTAAAGCTATATCTGAACCGATTTTCTCCAAATTTGAAGTACCTGCTTCTAGACTTAATTCGGTCGGATGTACCAAAATTCAGGACTTTTAGGCAGATATTCGCCATTTTGTGCACAATTAACCCGTAATCGGTTGAAGATATATAAATTCGCAGATTCGGATCTATCTGAAAAAATCTTGATAAAATTTGGCAGAGGTATTTCCGTGCTCTATAAGATATCTGGTACCAATTATCATTGTTGTCGAATGGATATTACAAGTATGTGGTACTTAAACACCAAATCGGATGAAACGTATCTATGGGAGCTATAGCTATATCTGAACCGATTTTCATTAAATTTGATGTAGTTGCTTCTAGACTTAATTCGGACGGATATACCAAAAATCAGGACTTTTGGACTGACATTGGTCATTTGGTGCACAATTAACCCGAAATCGGTTGAATATATATATATGGAAGCTATATCCGAATCTGAACCGATCTTGATAAAAATTGGTGGAAGTATTTCTGGGCTGTATCTGATACCAAATATCAATGTTGTGAAGTGCTTATTATGAATGTGAGGGACTTAAACATCAAATCGGATGAAACATATATACATATGGGAGCTATAGCTATGTCTGAACCGATTTTCACCAAATTTGATGTACTTGCTTCTAGTCGGAATTCGGTTGGAATTGATAAAATTCAGGTCATTTGGACTTATATTGGCCATTTTGTGCACAATTATCCCGAACTCGGTTTGAAGATATATGGCACCTATATATAAATCTGATCCGATTATCACCAATTTCAATAGGTTTAGTCCTTGGGCCAAACAAATATTGTTTGGACAATTTCACCTCAATCGGATAATAAATGCGACCTGCATTTTGTTCACAAAAATACAAGAACGGACGGACGGACTGACATGCATAAATCGACTCAGAAAGTGATTCTATGAAGATGCTCAAAAGTAACTATGGATCTATCTCGCGTCTTTCTTCCTGTTACAAACAAATGCACAAAGACATAATACCCTTGCCACTATGTGTTGTATATTTTCAGTTTTTTTCGGAACATTGATGCAAATTTTTTTTTGATGTACAATGGAAATAGAGATTTCTTTTCTTTGCAAACTAATAGTAAAATTTGATGAAAGTGGTTTTCGTCTTTGATGTCATCCCCCCAAAAATTATGTTTTGTAGGAGGTTTTTGAAGCAACTCAATAATTAATCGAAAAAAAAATTAGAACATGGAAGCAAATATTTTTTGATGCAAAATGGAAATAGAGATTTCCGTTCTTTGGTAACCTATAGTGACATTTAATGAAGAATATATTCTAAATTATGTTTTAAATATATGTGCATCCCGGGCGCTAAGGTAAGATTACGACATTTGATGTCTTTTTGGACCTATAGTAGAATTTAATGACAAATTATTTTACAGAATATTTCGACTTTTTAATCATATTTTGAATATAGTTCCAAAAAGAAGCCTTTGGTGAATTGCTTGAGGCTTAAAATTTGCGACCAAAAGAATCCTCATGTTATCTGTAATATTGCCGAAGATAGTATATACCTAAAATCAACGGATTCGAAGTAATATTATTTTGAATATTTAAAAAAAAATATGGAAGAGGGGTAACTTGGCCTCGCCCTATTTACGTTGGGTTAAAAAGTTTTAAAACGCCGAGAGTCGTGACATCTATTTTTGGCTCTACTTTCATAATCTGCTGAATTTTCCCTTTAACTAAAGAAAAATTTGAATTTTTCATAATCGTCGTGTTCTCGGTGATTGAATTCTTGAAATGTAATTTAAATAATCTGGAAAAATAACAACAATGAAATGAAACCAGTAAAGAAAGTCTTAAAGTAGGGCGGGGCCGACTTTATGATACCCTACACAACTTTGCTAATTTAGTAGAGCTCCGCATAACAATTAAAAGTTTTTATGGGAGAATTCATCATACACACTATGATTATAATTTAAAGTTCAAAGGACTTAATATGCCGAAGCATTTATTTAAAATCGGATAAAGATATATATGGGAGCTATATCCAAATCGGAACCGATCTCGATAAAATTTGGCAAAGATGCTTCTGAGCTGTATTTGATATATTTCCCTGAGTATCGTTGTTACGGAGTGCATATTACGTTTGTGGCTAACAAATATAACAAATCGGATGAATAATATATATGGAAGCTATATCTATATCTGAACCGATCTTCACCAAATTTGACATACTAGCTTCTAGACTCAA